CAGTAAAGTGCAACACCCATCCGTCAGTGGGAGCATTACGAGGCACAAAGAGACGAGCGTTAAGAAAAGACACGCGCTTGTTTTTCTGCAGCACTAATCCGTGCTGATGAGATGGACTTGGTGCCTCCATAATGGTCTCTCCACCCAGAAGGTCTGAAAACAACATAGCTGGCCTATTTTTAGAGAACCCACTTCCTCTGGTTGGTTTGTGATAAAGTCTTTTGAAAGAAGAGAAGCTTTGCTGTTTGTTGCTGTTGCAGCGTTACGCGTAATCCTTCATGTCGGTTCTGATGTTTTCTGCACATTGTGCCACTATAATCATCATCAGCTCCCTGAGCGTAGCTCATAATTATGTAATTAAAGTATTTGGTGCTTGTTTTCCAGGTTTTACGCCCTGACTTGCTGCTTTTGCTGCATAAATGATAAATATGCCGCTCTCGCTGCGGGCGTAACCCTCAGAAAATGTGAACTTGGCTGTTCAGACTTCTGCTGTTTCAGAAAGCTGCAGACTGGTAAATGAAGCTCAGGGGTCGTGGAAAGGAGCACGAGGTCATGGATGTAGAAGCACACCTGTTCTCCAGGAGCTTCTTATAGCGGGACCGATGACTTCCAGATGTTTTCAGGGAGACTGACCCCCCTGTGTCTGCAGCAGGGGCCACATCTTTTCCAGCGTTTGGGTAGAAACGCTCACCATCTTCTCACTTCTGGGCCGCCTTCGGGGGCTCCAGGGTTGTGATTTATGAATCCATTTTATAGAAGAGAAATTCTTACACTTGGAACCGTGGAGGTGGGCTCAAGTCTGGCGTTCACGCAGCTGTGATGGCTCTATTGAAGAGTTTTATTTAGGTTTTTTTCCTCTTTGGATGGCAGGATGAGAACGTTATAAATCACAGTGACAGGTGTGCAGCTGAAGCTGGTTCCCCCACAGATGCACGACCCGTTGCTGCCAATAGAAAAATATAAAACCTTCTTTTGAATGAAAGCGTCTGGAAAAAGAGCAAAGGCTTCAGTTTTATGTCGCTCTCTTTATCGCTTCCATTGCTTTTCTGTCAGTCACTTTAATTCCTTTTGTGGTTCACACACCTGGATTCACACACCTGGATTCACGCACCTGGATTCACACACCTGGATTCACACACCTGGATTCACACACCTGGATTCACACACCTGGATTCACACACCTGGATTCACACACCTGGATTCACGCACCTGGATTCACGCTGGCCTAAAGCCAGCTCTGAAACATGAATGTGGGTTTCATGTGGGACTTTAGTACTTTACACCCATATTTCTATTCTTCTTGTCCCGGAGGGTTAGGCTCTGTTGTGCTATCATGCATTTCCCTCCTAAACTGCTTAGAAACCCACAAAGGATTCAGTTAGTTTTTGTTTTTTTACATTCTGGAAGGTTTTTTGAAGATCTAATCCACCATAGTTTATTTTTCATCCCAAAATAATTTCCAAAAGTGGTTCAGATTGTAAAATGTGACATCCAGGGTGGACTGAATGTGCACAGGTGGCAATGAAACAAGCAAGCAGACACAACTTCCTGGACGAGTGCAGCCGGCTGAAGCTGTAACACGTTTGTCATCGACAGCCTGATGCTTTAGGAGGCTGGAGCCGACCCGAGTTGAGTCGACACACCCTGAACGCTTCTGAAGGGACTGGTGAAAGTGTTTTAGTTGGCGTTCAAGTTTCCACGACCTACAGATTGACAGCACCTGTGGATTAAAATGAACCGGACTCGGCGCCTGTCGGTACGCCAGCACAAGCACGAGCATTTATTACACTTTAGCGCCCCACTTTTTAA